GATCATCCGATGCTGCTAAGGGTGTCCGGTCATCCAGGGGCGCTTGAAAAATTCAAGGGCTTGTTTCTGCGAAATGGTCGCACACACTCCACAGCATAATGTGCCGTTTTTAACTCCCCTATCAACCCTTAAAATACTTGACGGCGCACCTGGGACAGCCTGTACACACGTCGGTCACATTTACCCCGGTTACAGCACACGTACGATGGTTACGTTCCGCGGCTCCCGTTCCCCGTTTCTCTGAATCCTCGACGGGCCCTCGAGCCCGGCACCTACGGCACTGCGCCCCGTGTATTATAGGAAACGCATATCCGAGGCCATTCACGCACGAAAGGTCGTTGTCTCAGGCGAACGCGCATACACCGTATTCCGCCATCCCCTTTTTCCCAGCTTTCTTCGCCACCCCCGTCGTTCACGGAGATTACGTCATAGCTCAGTCTAGACTGGCAGCATTCGTAAAGATGTCCTCTCGCGCCACCCTGGCTCGCACCTTCCCCCATCGCGCGCGCGCCGCCCCTTGCCGAGCCTAATCGCACGGAAATATACAGTGAAAGAACAATTTGATCCGTTGAATCAGTTTTATGGGTTTAAAGGCGAACGGCCAGGACACGGCTCGAGCAACAAGGTTGCACCCGAGCACCCATGACGCAATGGGGTTGATAAAAAATACCCGGGCATCGCGGAAAAGTCATAGATAGGGTCGGATAACTCAGTCCACAAGATCTGTTACTATTTTAACACTGATTAATATTAATTTATCACTGTTTAAAGCTAGGTAAGCTAAGTATAACTAATAAACTGTGAAGCTAAGTTTATTTGATTTGTAATTAAAATCATTCGAGTCCCACCGAGGATGACGAGTCTTCGGTTTATCTTCGGGAATAATTAATTTCATATTTATCAAATAATTGAATTTTTTATTGGAAAATGAACGAAATGAAAGGCTAATAAAATAAACTAAAGGATAGGCACAGCAATTGATCACCCAGGATAATTGGTTACCCTACACAATACAAAGCTTCCAAAATGTTTCGTGATTGAATATTAGGTTGTTGAAGAGGGATGGATTAACGAGAGATCACGTCGAAGTAATCGGCCTTCTGAGATCCTGAGTAGCTATTTTCACTATTCCACGATCGTCAACCCCTTCAGAGGTATTATTATTAGTAGGATTTCGATGGGTTCAACGGGAATCCTGTGGTCCCGCGAGGACTTTAAGAGGTCGGCTTTGGGTCCCCGCTCACTGAAGATCATTGCTTTAGTGGGGACACTTATGGCGCGGAAGACGGAGACGTCCCTGTGGAATTCTCGATCTTACCCCTAAACTGCTGGTTGAGTCTGTTAAGGAAACCGTTGATACGATTTGATCAAAGATTCTACGATGCTTCCAGGATTTTGTCAGCTTATTTATCATAATTAATTATGAATGGGACTGATCTGAGATCTAGAAAAAGAAATTATACAATTTTTATACGGTGAAGGGCTGAATCAATGAGTGTCAAAAATTGCATAGCCACTGTTTGTTTTGCTATGATAATATGTTTCCTTTTGGTCTCCCAATGCGGAACCAACCCTTAAGAACGTTTTGGTATTTTTACACTTTCCTGATGTTGCGAAAATAGCGCTAACTTTGTTATCGTAATTTCAGTTTGATTGCAGACTGTTATTTTCTCGAAGTCAAAGAGGATTCAATTACGAGTTCTTTCATCCCAGCGGAACAAATCGGGACATCTGAATTATGAATCGAATAAATCGTTATTAATTTCCAGGTGAACTGATAATATAAAGTCACAGGTAGTCCGCCATCGTTATCAGGCTGAATTTAATTCGGCGAAGTCATTGTTTCGGACGGCTAAATAATTTTCGGAATGTTCCTTGCAATCGCATGTTTCTCCCTGTCGGCCGATTCATTGAAATTTCACAAAGAACCGGATCGAATATTTTTCAGACAATTTTTCGGCTTGTCAGTTTCGAAAACGCCTCATTGACCCGCTGAAATTTAATATGTGAAAACGTGTCGAAAAATGCAGCATCGCGCGTATGAAATTTACGCGTTCCCATCGACAATCTCTCCTCTCCTTTTTTTAATTCGCCCGTTTTTCAAAAATATTGTATAATTCACTGTCGCTAGGGAGAAAGGATGGCGTCGAGCATTATCGTAAATTCATCTGTCTGCTTATCAACGAGACTCCGCGCGAAGCAGACTGTGATTGACAGGATTTACAGAAATTTCGCGGCGCGGCAGAAGTTTCGTTTAAAATTGTGCAACGCGAAACGACTACGCTGGGATCCTGCACGATATCCGATCGCGGCACTGAGTTATTTGTAATGGAAGTAGAACTCGGGACCGAGATACCGTCTCATTCAATTCGGCGCGTTTTGATTTTTAGCCGCGGATCCTGTATCTCCTGGATCCGCTCGCTGCGAAATATTTACAATCAAACCGATCCTCCCGATATTTCCTCCCGGAAACAATTCTGCTCATTCGAGTACACCTGATTCCAATTCTCAATGTTCCGAACAAAAATACCCGTAGCCGTATTAACGAAAAAATTCGTGAAGATTTTGGCCCTCGATTTCTTCTTTCAAACTGTAATTCTTGCGTCAGTCTAATATCATACTAAAAATTATTCATATAATTTGTACATAATTTAAGCGACTTCTCTAGTGATTTGAAACGATCTGTTTAATTCTAAGAAGTAGATTTGCAACGTGCTTAACGAGATACCCGGCAGCATTTGCGTTGGAATTTAACGCACTCGAAGGAAACGTTGAATAGACGTCGATCATCGGCGTTCGCAATTTTTCACGTCGTCGATATCGTCGGGAATCGCATTTGACCATTCGCCAAACTAGATAAACGGCGCCAATTTGTCGCTGCTGATCGAAGGGCTAATTCAATTTGGAACAGTAATAGCTGGAAAGCATCGGGCGCATTATCGCATTTTTCTTCGCGACTAAAAATCGACTACGTTGTAGGACCCGGCCGAGGGAAGCGCCGACTGCAACGGGAACAGCGGGGCAGGGATCGTTGAAAATGGAAGGAGGTCAAATTGGCTCTCAATCTCGAAGGCCGTGAACCGAGAGAAAATCCTGTTACAACGGCGGGAAGATTTTCTTTTGAATATTTCTCCGCGGTAATTTATTTACTCGAGTCCGGCGGTTCTTTATTCGCGCAGCCTCCGGCGAAATTAGAGAATGTTTTCCGGTCGCGAGGTTATCCCTTTATCGTCTGTGATACACCGAACTAACTGTTCGCGGATGATGTTATTAATGCGAGATTCTTTCTAGAGGTTATTCATTAAATCATTATAAAGCTCCGCGCCGTGAGAATATTAATATTTTGATATTTCGATGAGGAGTATTTTATGCGGAGAATATGAAATGCTCGCCCGGTACATTCCATTTTGCAGCACGCTCGATCATCCGCCTCGATTCGACGGCTCAAGCTAATGTGCAAGAAAGTTTTTTTAATAAAATCCTCGAAATATGCGAAACGCTGAAATAGTAACGAATGGCTTCCATTTATCGAAGAACAACGCGCGGAAGTTACGAGCCATCATCGAGAAAATGAGATGGAACAAATAATTTACAAATGTGGAGTTATGATAATAGTCTTCGATCTCTGGGAAAATTATTTTCATGATTATATCATCGGATAACGAACGAAACTTTTGCGAATGGAAATCGGAATTCTGTGGAAATATTACTGAGGAGCGTATTTTGTACACAATTCACTTCACACGCGTGTTATTCGATCCTTTCTTGTCTCGAATGAAACTTTATTCATCTGTTATCGATGTTTAACCATTAATGAGAATACAAACATTTAACTTGTACTCGATTTAATTAATAAGACAAGCATGGACTTTATTTCTTTTGTTGGAAATTGTGAACGACAAAGAAATTCTAATCGCTGTAGCTGTGACATAAATCGTAATGCTTGCAGCTGAACTTATTATTATTTGTTATTACTTATACGTTTCTTCACTTTAGCGCGGTATTTTAAATCGGAAAAGGTGTTAAGAGGAGAAATTCTGAATGCTTCAATTACAGAAGCATAATACTCGTATACAAAAATTCATCTCCTTTCCAAGATGGAGAATACATTTTCTATATTTTCTCCTAAATTATAGTAAAAATTAGAAGAAAGTTCTATACCGTTACATTTACATAAGAAGATCATAGACGAGATAGCTAGAAACATGGTCGTACTGTGAAAATGTCTTTATTAGCCTGGCATAACCTGACTCTGTTTGCAATTAGACTGCAGAGATTTTTATGTAAAATCGCAATCGTCTGCACTAGCGCCTGAGTCCCTATATTTTAACAATTTTAACAAGTCGAACAAAAATTAGTCAATTGCAAGTTAGATATCGTAACTAGAGCTATTAAATAATCCATTAAAACTTGCACGTTTCTTATGCGACACAAGACTTTAAGAACACCTTCGTTTAAATTTACAAAAACCGGCCACAACCAGTTTTTATCTACTCATTTTAAAACTCGCGGTCTATTTTTTATAAACCAATGTTCGACATTTTGCGAAACACAGACGCGTCCCAATTTTCATACCGATTAGAACAGTGTGCTAATCACTGTGCCTATTAAAGTGACGTCCGAAGTTTTCACCGAAATAAACAGTTTTGTATCGAACTTCTTGGAACACTTAAATTCTATGTTGACGTTTTTCATACAAGTACGATTCTATTCGTAATTAACATATAAAAACAACGCGAAAAAATTTAACAAAATAAAGAAGTTGATGTTTCGATTCGGCTACGAAAATTACAGATCAAATTTCCTTCAAAAAAGTTCAATATCTTTAATTTAATAATGACGTTTTTTAAATGTAAATGAAATTATTATAAGGACGCAGTAACCAGGAGGGTGGCACACTAATCGGCACATTTACTCTCTACGGGTCGAGAAGCCACGTGACAGCCCGAAGAGACGAGTCTACGAAAATTGGTCGCAGGACGATTAGGCGTGTTACTCACGATATTCATTTCCTGGTCCTGGATCTCCTTGTAGACCTCGACGATCCTCATCAGCGCGTAGCCTGCAACACAAAGCGAATTTCGATCGTTTTCAAACAGTGTCTGGCGGCGGTGCGCGGCAGGGATTCGCGTCGAACCCCGTCGAGCTTTCGCGGTTAAAACTTTCGTCCTGAATTATTCAGACGTGGCTGGTGTCGTCGATACTTTAATCCACGCTGCCGAGGGCGCGTCAGAGGGTGTGTTGGTGGGAAAGCGAGACAGAAGGAGAACACCGGGAAAGAGAGAAAGAAAAGGAGAGAGAGAGAGAGGGCGAGAAAGAGAGGGAGGAAAGGAGGGTATGGGAGGACGGCGAGAAACCGAGGCGACCGCAGGAGTTGGTAGCGGCGCGTTCCAGCGGTTGCGGCTGATTTTCGAGTGACTTTCCACGAAAAGCTCCCGAAAGCCTACGAAAGCGGGCGACAGGGGCGGCAGAGAAGGGAACCGACGGGTTCCGGTGGGGACCGGTGGGAACCGGAGGGGGGGACAACAAAAAAATGCAGAGAAACCACGATCGCGAAGCTTCGAGGGAGGAAAGTCGTAGGGGAGTTCGACGAAAGTTTTCATGCTCCTGGCCGGTCTCGCGGAAACTTTTCTGCCGTTTCCTGGCCGCTTCTTTCCGCAATACTTCTCTGCCCAACGGAGAGGTCCCCGGCCCCGCGAGGAACGTCCCGACGCCATGCTTGCTACCAGGATTTCGCGCGTGTATGCGTCGCGGATGCCGCGCGATTAAGACCTCGCCGGGGCGGGCGAGAATAATTTCAGAGGCAATTTCGAACGAGAAAGGGCGAACTGCCACCCGAGGCGCGGCTGAGTTACTCCGGAAGCCGAACACTTGAAAAAAGAGACAATTAAGGCAGAAGTGGCTGTTATGAAACACCGCTCGATTGTGACTCCCGCTTGAAACAGTAGCGCAAGCGATAAAATAATGACTAGAGGACGCGAGAGTGGATATAAAAGTTCTGCTCACATTTCTGAGCATTGTACTTTATAAATTCACTCACATAATTACTGATATGTAATGAATAACTGTTGAAAGGAATGTTTATTCGAATGCGGGTGTTTCCAGGCAGGGACATACTGTTCCGTATTGTGTTCAATTTTCTCGTTGTTCCAATCTATGGAACATAAATTATAATATATGCATTGAGAGCTATAATTATCTAAAAAAAAAAACATATCTTACACTGAATAGACGATTCAAGTCGATGCTTGTAATTGAAAATATGTATAAATGTATTGTTTGCTGGGAGAGAAATGCCCGTTCCAAAAATAGGAACGTCGAATGTGGAACACAGGGACATAATGGGAACATGCTCGTATCATTTTTGATTAATATTAAATAAATATTTTTAAGTTAATTACGTTATCCAGAAACATCAATTTATCGGACAGTAATATAAATATTCAGCAATAACGCTTTTAAGTTGTAATAAAATCAATACGATCTCATGCTCTCCGAGAAGCGTTCCACATTAGGTATTTCTATCTTAATCGGGAAGCCGAACAATTAAGGAAAGAGACAATTACATATATCGCCGCACTTAGATCAATGTTATGGTTCCCGCATGTGGTGGCGCGCCGCGCCGTGTGCTCGCGCTCTCGGAAATAATGTTTCGTTTGCTACAACTTGTGATATCAACTGTACAAACTGGTTCACCGCATACTAGCAGTTCGATTTACAGGACCGTAATTACTATACTGCAGCTCCGCATGCAAAATAAAAATTGTCTGTATCAGTTGCAAAACGTATGAACCAAGTGCAATCTTATATCTCTCTGAAATAATTTGAATACGTTGTAATTAACATATCAACATTTTTAGTTTCCTTTAATTTTTTCACTGTTTCATGTTTCAGCTCCCACAAATGTATCAAATCCGTGGTATAGTTATTACTCGTTGAGAAAAATGGTCCATTTAGAGTTGACCAACCAAATGATTGGTCGAAGTGCAAATATTGTCGAATATGCAGCTACTGCATTCAGAGAAGATTCTCTTACTTCGTCGACCACATTCAATTTTCTAATGTTCTCAGTTTATAGACAGAATATTTCAAATATGTCGAATGACCAAGTATTTTGCAAAATATTTATTTTTAACCATGCAACAGTGGCGCATAAATACAATATAAATAAAGTGCACGTGCAGTCTAAATTTTGCATGAGCATTATAATAAACGTATAATTATTTCCAGTAATTCGAACATAATATTTAACTAATTCAATGAAATTTTTTCTACGCAAAAATAAATATATATAAAATATATAAAAAATAAATAATTTAAATATATATAAAATTATTTCCAGTAATTCGAACGTAATATTTAACTAATTCAATGAAATTCTACGTAAGTTAATTCTAAGTAATTAACGATACGCTGAAGTATAAAAATCGCGGATAAGCTCCGTGTAAAAATGTTTCCTCGGCATGTAAACTGCGCATCATCGTCGCCAATTAATTCCGTCATTGATCACTGACTAAGCGTGACACCGTGCTCGGCAACGATAACTTGACCCGATAGACTAGATAGTCGGGGAGTCATTAATCACAGGTAGCTCTGCGTACAGTCGGCGTGACAAATTCCCATGTCGATATGCTAACGCGACATACTCAGTTCGCATTGGCGCAGGACCGAAAAATATCTTCGATCACGGTTAGAAGAGTAGAGGAGAAAAAGCCAAGCGAGCCTTAGCGAAACACCGCTAAGTTTGATCGGCTAATTAAAGTTTTAACTAAGTTAGACGGAGGCCAATCAAGTACGAGTTTAAATTACTTTATTAAGGTGTCGCTATTCAAATTGAAGAAGCTTCTTTAACGATCAGTCGTAGAATCAACTTGCGGAGGACACACCGTACAATCTAAATCATCCTTATTTTCCTCCTGGAATATTTTTCTCGAGAAGTTTCTTCCGCGGGAGGGCTCTGATTAAAATCGAGGCAAGGAAATTCCATCGGAAATGAAAAACCACGCGGTACACAAGTTCCATAGCGAGAAGGGAACTCCGTTAATTTTCTTTTCCTTCAACGTTTAATTATCTCGTGTAATATTAAATTTCCGTGTTTTACCGGCGACTCGACTTCCCGGAAACCCGTTGTCCGCTAATGTGGACCCGGCCGAATCTTTTTCCGACTATCTGGCCCTGTGTTTGTACGTCAACGTCAGCCCTAATGCACCGCCAAGATGCATTGCGTTTATATTTTTTTCCTTCGCGCCGCGCGGCGCATAAATGATCCAACGTGACTCGACCGAAACTCTGTGCGCAGCGGTTAATGCCTCAGATATCGCGTTTTATCGCGGCGCGCATTAAATATACCGGGTCGTAAAGTCGCAGTTTCGGTCTTCATGAAATTGCTGACATATACTTGCGGATCGATCAGCTGGGATACCGCATTAATGAACGACAGTTTAACACTTTAACGCGCGTTGCCTGTTACGGAGCTTGGAATTTCCCCGCGATAAAGTGTCAAGTGATTTTATAGCAATAATACGGTGTCTATAGCGGTTCTCGGCACTTAAAGAAAGATTTTAATAGACACAAGATTCGCACAAGTATTTTAGAATTAATTATAAATATCCTTACAATATGTACCGAGGTGTTAATTTCAAAGATCGCTAAATCTTTCTACAGAAGATTGTTAATATTCAATATTTTATATCTTCGCGAAAAAAAATCGTGTGATATTCTACCTAGAGTCATTTCAAAGGGCGAAGACTCAGCTTTAATAACCACAGCTTCGTTTCTTCCGAGGATTTTTTCTACGTCGTGCAGCAAGTGGGAAAATGCGGACGCTTATTTTTATGTACTTGGAGTTATTCTAATGCGGGCGTATGTTTTATTCAAAGTCCAATAAAATCACGACAGAAAATCTTATAGAACGTTTTAATAGACCGTTTTAAAGAGGACACTCTGATCTTTAATCTCATGCTAATTTTAGTCGGGAACAAAAATTTTCAATGTCTATACAGACGTGTAAATTCGTGAAAGTTCAAGGTGTGAAGGTGTCCTCGTTTTCTCGTTGATTGTATGATGTGAAAATCTGTTTGAAAAAATGAACACCGTATTGTGAAAGGTGAAGATTTTCGCTTTAAAACGAGCCCAAAAACGTTGTTCTACGATTTATTTTCTCGAAGATGCGATAGCTTAAATATCGCCAATTTTAATTTCTCATTTTGATCATTCAATTTTCCGTATGAATTGCGCAACGTTTCATTATCGAATTTTTAACAAACATTTTAATTTCACCGGATTTCTGTATGAAGTAACCGGTTTGTAGAAAAGTTTCAGCTATTGCAACGTGTAATACAACGGATGGATGTCAGACGTGGCAAAATGTGACGGGAATAAATCGACGTTGAAGGGATCATAAAAGTAGACCAGGAAGGCTCGAGAAGATCAAAATCTTGTCAAGGACTTGTCTCTTCAAGACCCCTTCAATTCTAGGGTTAATATATGTGAATCGGGGGCAACGACGTGGGACTTCCTGTCATATGGGATTTCTTTCCACGCCCGTAATTCTTCATGCAGAAGGCTTCTCGAAAGTAATTCCTGGATATCCTGCGACGCACGGTGTGCGGCGTTTCTCATTTATTTTATTTTCGCTGATAAAGTCGTTCCCTTAGAACGAGTTTTCCAAAGGATTCGCAAGTATGAAAAATATGTAAAAATAAGTTGTTTAATCAATATTTACTTGAACACACGTTTCGCGTTTGATCTTACAAAACTCTGCAGAATTATGGTAAACTAAGTAATTTATAATTTCGTAAAATAAAGCGCAAAGATCTTGATTTGCATAATGATATGCAGTTTAGTCGAGTCTACCATCCCCCATTACCGTTACATTGAACTTATTGCATTATTGGTTTTAATAAATATCAAAAGATTTCGAACAAAAACCTACGTTCTTATCTACACGTACGAGCAGAAAACATAAAACAACGTCTAACGTCTGCTTCTAGAAATCCGCAGATAATTAAAAGCGGCAAGAAACTGCACTTAAAATTTAGATCTCCCCCTTAACAACAGTCT